GGATAACGTATTTGCAGCCATCAGTATGAGATGATTATCAATAAATAATCAGATTTCCCCCTTTCCTGCAACATCCACAAATATTTTTTTTTTAAAGTGGACACGCGATCACACATTGGCACATATTGGTGGACCCCCCCACCCTCCCGTTTTTTCAGCTTCACTCCTGGACAATGATGACGTGTGTCCCTGCTGCCTTAGTCGGTGATCCATTTCTAAATTAAAGTGGACACGCGATCACACATTGGCACATATTGGTGGACCCCCCCACCCCCCCGGTTTTTCAGCTTCACTCCTGGACCATTATGACGTGTGTCCCTGCTGCCTTAGTCGGCGATCCATTTCTCATCCCCCCCCCCCCCCCCCACACCAAGATTCAAGGGTCAACCCTTATTCTTGAGCGCTCTGAGAAAAACAAAATAAAAAGGGGGGCGCTCGTGCGTTTTGTGAAAAATTTGTTTAGCATACTAACTTATAGACGGTTAAAAATCTGGCCATAGGGTTAAAAACAAATAAAAAACAAATGGGGCTATGTAACTTTGGTTGGGGGAAGTTTAAAGACTCTTTAAAAATCAAATAAAAAGAAAAAGGCGATTTAAAATTCAGTATTATTGTTGACTACAACTGCCTAGATACTTCGCCGAAGCGAGGGATACTTCGCCGAAGCAAGGGACACTCCTAGTCCTAGTAAATTTGAATCAGAAATGGGCGTCGGCGCAGTAAGATCTGTGTTTTTAATTTTTCATGTGCAAAAATTTGAATAAATTAGGAGCCCTTTTGGCCTTTAATTAATTTAGGTTTGACTCTGCCTATTAACATTAGGAGAAATGTTGAACTACATTCCCATTGAGTTAATTTGTTCTTTATCTCAACTTTAAGTGAGGAAAATCGTATGTCAATATAAGGCATCTTCGCATTAAAAAATTAGGTCTAAATATTGAAAGTAGGTCTTCATATTAAAAGTAGGCTTGCATAATTTATTGAAGTACACGTGTGCAAAATTTTATTGAGATAGCGCATGAAACATTTTTACAATTCTCAACGTTGACCTCATTATGCAAAGGTCGCACAGGCCATTTTGGATTAGTGATTCTGCCCCCTTTTAAATAGCTGAAAACTTAGCTTGGGAAATATTCATTTGGGGTCATCACTTTCAACTTCACTTACTTGGTTCATGCAGTCCATGTTAAAAAAGGACAAATTAAATCGTACTTTAAAAATTCATAACTTTAAAACTACAACAGCTAAAAATATGATTTTGGTGTTATCATTCTTTAAAAAATTAGCTTTATTCAACTATGCCATTGGTTTATTTTTACAAAAAGTTTTAATTTTCTAATCAAAGTACCTACAACTGCCTGTATTTAATTAATAAAGAATACACGTAAGTTTACATAAAATACGAAAAGCGTTAAAAAATAATATACGCACCTGAACTCCACTTTTACCCAGTATGGTTTGTTAGAAATTCAATAAGTTAGACTAATATCAAATTACAATTACAGATAAGACAGTAAGTATTGTGGCCGATTTGCTGCCAAAAAAAAAGAAAAGTAAAGCAACTTTGACCTTGATTTTGATTGATGTCCTGTTAATGATTATAGAACTATATTTAAAATAGAATTTAAAAATACCATAAAATTATAAACATAAACGTATTCTTACTTTCTTTCAGCTGTACGTAACATTTTTTTCGTGTTTCTTCAGAGCTACCGGTACATGAAAGTCTTGAAAATATGGAACATTTGTCGATTGATAATAATGGCGACTAGGATGGCAACCAACAGGAAGTATCCGTCATAACCAACCTCACGTGACCAGCCGGGTCCGAATAGCCATTTACGACTATTGGTTCTCGGGTACCTATAGCCATTTCGTTACGGATATGGGGTCGTTTATTAATTGCGTCAACAATTTTTAAGCAATTTTTGACCACCTCCCCCCCTTGTCAACAACTGTCAAACTTTCAATGACCCCCCTCCCCAT